CCTGTCCCCATGTCGCTGTGTCCCCACTGTGTCGCCATCCCCACGCGGCTCTGTCCCTGTGTGTGACTCCGTCCCCGTCCCCATCATGTCCCTGTCCCCACGTGTCCCTGTCCCCACGCAGCTCTGTCCCCACATGGTTCTGTCCCCACGCGGCTCTGTCCCCATGTGCCCCATGTGTCTCTGTCCCCGCGTGTCTCCATCCCCGTGTGTCTCTGTCCCTATGTGGCTCTGTCCCCGCGTGGCTCTGTCCCCACACAGCTCGGTCCCCATGTGCCCCACGCGGCTCTATCCCCGTATGTCTCCGTCCCCACATGTCTTTGTCCCTATGTGCCCCATGTGTCTCCGTCCCCACGCGGCTCTGTCCCTGTGTGTGACTCCATCCCCGTCCCCATCATGTCCCTGTCCCCGCGCGGCTCCGTCCCTGCGCGGCTCCGTTCCCGCGTGGCTCCGTCCCCGCGTGTCTCCGTCCCCACGCAGCTCTATCCCCGTGTGTCTCTGTCCCCACTCGACTCTGTCCCCGCGTGTCTCCGTCCCCACACAGCTCTGTCCCCATGCGACTCTGTCCCCACGTGGCTCCGTCCCCGCGTGTCTCCGTCCCCGCGTGGCTCCGTCCCCGCATGTCTCTGTCCCCACGCGGCTCTATCCCCGTGTGTCTCCGTCCCCGCGTGTCTCCGTCCCCACGCAGCTCTATCCCCGTGTGTCTCCATCCCCACATGTCTTTGTCCCCATGTGCCCCGCGTGGCTCTGTCCCCGCGTGTCTCCGTCCCCGCGTGTCTCCGTCCCCACGCAGCTCTATCCCCGCGTGTCTCTGTCCCCACTCGACTCTGTCCCCGCGTGTCTCCGTCCCCACGCAGCTCTGTCCCCATGCGACTCTGTCCCCGCGTGTCTCCGTCCCCGCGTGTCTCCGTCCCCGCGTGTCTCCGTCCCCACGCGGCTCTATCCCCGTGTGTCTCCGTCCCCGCGTGTCTCCGTCCCCACGTGTCTCTGTCCCCACGCGGCTCTGTCCCCACGTGGCTCTGTCCCC